ATACGAATCGAATGTTTTTTGAATTATTCAAATCGGTTGATCTGTGTTCCCGAAATCGTCGACGAAAATTTGTATCCGCACATACATACACACACGTACATACATACACACACACATACACACACACACACACACACACACATACATCCATTTTTTCTAAGGTATGCCAAATGTTCAGTAACCTCTGAAACGTAAAGATATATAAAAATTTTCATTTTCGATTTTTTTGCGATTACTATAACTTGCCCTACGGGAAGTTAATAATTTAGTAAGAAGAATGGTATTATCAATTTTGTCAAAAGCTTTACTGAAGTCAGGGTAAATAACATCAACAAAATATCCATAATTGTTTCTTTTGAATTTATTAAAAAAATGTACAAAATAAAAAAATAAATTGTGAATATCAAGTAGATTTCTAAAGTTCTTTGCCCAATTGTTATAAAGTTTGGTAAATTATATACAAATATATTTATAAACTATGTACTGTAAAAAATGATTGAATTACTAAAATGGGGTAGTAGATAAAATTTATACAAAATAGGGTTCGTAGATAAAACAGTCAGAATTTAAGCTTGAATGTATTTTTAACTTCACACTGTAAAAAAATAAAAACAAAAATTTTGAATAAAATTAAGCGTTAACAACCCTTATCACTTAGGGGTATAAAAAGTAGATAGTCCTACTAAACACGAGTACGGGAACAATCATTGTGACACGGAAATTTTATATAAGATAGGTATACCCTAAATATAAATGTTCACTTACTTTTCCATTTGATGGCATCCCTTTATTCAATATTCATTACTTTTCATTTGTTTCTCGACTTTTCCGCAATTTGCACGTGGGTGGACGACACGACACGTGTCTTTTTCTTTAGGAAGTGACAGAATAACTAAAAGTACAAAGAGAAAAAAAGTTATAGAAAACATATATTGACATTGTAAGGTGACATTTCTATGTAAAACATATATTATTTATTGAATTTTGAATTGAAAATAGCTCTACAAACTAAGGATAAACATCGTACAAGATACTATTTTAGAATAAGTTATGTTTATAATTAATATTGTATTTTAAAATAAAATATTTGAATATCAAATTTTTGAAATTTTTTATTTTAATCTAAATTTCGAAAAAATACAAAATATCACAATTAGGAAAAAAGATAATTTCTTACAAAAATTTGAAAATATTTCGAAATTTTCAAAAAAAAACGGATATTTTTGAAAATTCCAAAAAAATTTACAAATTAAGAGTAAAGATCACTCGAGTTATAATTTTAGTATAAGGTATGTTTATGTATAATATTGTATTTTAAAATAAAACAATTAAATTTTAGTTTAAACCTAGAAAAGCGATTTTCCGCTGGAGACGCCATGTACATTTTCATAAAAATGTCAATTTAAAAATCAAAGAGAAAAACTTGTTAATATTATATAATTCTAAACACTGTATAATTTAAAGAATTTAAATATTAAAATATTACCTCAAAGCTAGTATCTCTCAAAATTTTTGATTTCTTTCAAATGTTATAATTTTTTAAAAATAAAATTACATTCAAGTATTTAACAAAAGTAACTTTTAAGTAAAATCTAGTTAAGATTGTCAATGCGTTTATAATTAATTAGACAAACCTTGAAGATATTAAAATATTATTGTTAATATTATATGTAATTAAATAATATTGTTACATTCTGTATTACGAATTTTGTGTTATTAAGTACATTATGTATTATACTATGTATTGTAATTTATCCATATATACATAGAATACATTAATTATATTTTTAAATCCTCTTAAGACTATTTTGTGGGCTATATGTTTAAAATAAATAAAAATGAATAAAAATAAATAAACGTCATTAATGATTATCATTTCAAATCTACTTTTTTCGGAAAAGTCAATTTAAATAAATAATGCTTATAAGACTTCTTTATATCTTCTCTACTGATATATCATAGGATGATTTATTCCTTTCCAGTCGAAAAGGCTCTCTAAAATTTAGTCAAGTGGAAACTTAGAGATTTGCATACGACCCGAAAATTTTAGGAATGCCAATATCTGTTATATAATATCTAAATAAGTAATATTTTAATATCTATTTAATAAATAAGTCAATCTGTTGTGAAAATTGTGTAAGTTAAAAATTATCTGTATATGCTATATATATATATATATATATATATATATATATATATATATATATATATGTATATATTAGAGATGGGCTTATCATATCCGAAGCCGGATCGACTCGGATTTGACTCCGCTTCAGGAAGGAGTTATATCCGCTTAACAACTCCACGACTCCGACAATTTTGAAACCGAAATACTCGACACAAATGTGTTCTCTAGTGCGTTGTTTATGTATCTAAGGATTTGTCAAATTACATTAATTATTTGAAATTTTTTTTATAAACTATTCACACATATTTGTTAATATTATTATAAAAAGTCACGATTTTAAGCATTTCTACATGCTTGCAAATCCCAAGTGGCATGCTGAAAGTGAGAATAAATATTTTGAATTATCAAGAAAATAAACCAAATAAAAACATATAAAATTTATATTGTGTATTTGTATTATTATTTTCAAATTATCTACAAATTTTGAGATTAAACATTTATATTTATATATCACAAATCTAAATGAGTTACAATATTTTTTTGAGCCTGAAATGAATTAAAGATGATAAATTTATATTAAACTAGCTGTAAGTGGAATTCTGTCTTAAGGCAATTAGGGCATCGTGCCTTAAGGCAAATTGCTGGAACTTCCCGTACCAAAAATTATTATCTTTTAAAAACGATACATTTTTGAAATAATTTTACTTCCAAAAAATAAGATTTTTGAGAAACTATAAATAGGACAAAAAATTACTTTTTTTGAAAAAAAAAATTTAAAAAAAAAATAATTTTTTAATTTTTTTTTTTTTTTACAAAAATGTTTTCTATATTTTGACATATTTTGGAAGATCTGAACTTTTTTTCAAAGCAATCGTACTGCTTCAAATGCATAGAGACAAAATATAAAGCGCGTAAGCGCCGCGTCGCTGTCTAACGGGTAAACATTGGTACGGAACCCATAGGAATGTAAACAAAATTTTTACTTATTGTTAAAATCTCTGTATAATATCTGATAATTTGATGTACATATGTCTAATAATCATTTTTGACCGCCAAATGGCATTTTTTTTTACTTTTTTTTAGATCTCCGAAACCGCTAAACCTGCCCTTATAAAAATTTGATCAATCTTCATTTTGTTAATACAAGTAAAATATTTTTTGAATTATTAAAATCGGACGCTCCGTTCTATTAAAAACTGAGGTACCGTTTTTGGCACTTTTTGCCCCATATCTTCGGAACGGCTAGACCTACCTCCGCCAAAAACTAATCAGCACGTCTCCTTATCAATACGGATCGAATGTTTTTTAAATTATTCAAATTGCTTCATTCGTGTTCCCGAAATCGTCGACGAAAATTTGTATCCGCACACACATACATACTACGCACACACACACACACACACATACATCCATTTTTTCTAAGGTATGCCATAATATTCAGAAACCTCTGAAACGTAAAGATATATAAAAATTTTCATTTTCAATTTTTTTGCGATTACTATAACTTACCCTACGGGAAGTTAATAACAGAAGATTCTGTATTACTGCCAATAAATAATAGTTCAGCCAAATGCTTTGGGTTTAGTCTGGTTCTTCGTTCAGTCAATGTAAGCCCTGCTTTTGAAAAAATTCTTTCACAAGGCACAGAAGTTGCTATGATATTTAATCTTTTCAATACCAATTGATACCAATTAGGATAAATTAGTTTGTTTGAGTACCACCACTTTAATGGATCTTCGTTAAGACTTACTATTGGCTCATTAATATATCTATCTAAATTAATAACACCTGCAGCTATATGCGACCTATATTCACTTACGGAATTTCCGGAATTATAGTATTGCCATACAGATTCTGACAATGAATGTTCCGTTTGTTTAGTCATATTTTTTACTTGGAGATCCAAACAATTTTCTTCAAAATTTTTTTTTAACTTCCCGTAGGGCAAGTTATAGTAATCGCAAAAAAATCGAAAATGAAAATTTTTATATATCTTTACGAACATTTTGGCATATCTTAGAAAAAATGGATGTATGTGTGTGTGTGTGTATGTGTGTGTGTATGTGTGTGTGTGTGTGTGTGTGTATGTACGTGTGTGTATGTATGTGCGGATACAAATTTTTGTCGACGATTTCGTGAACACGGATCAACCGATTTGAATAATTCAAAAAACATTCGATTCGTATTGATAAGGAGACGTGCTGATTAGTTTTTGGCGAAGGCAGGTCTAGCCGTTCCGAAGATACGGGGCAAAAAGTGCCGAAAACGGTAACTCAGTTTTTAAGAGAACGGAGCGTCCGATTTGAATAATTCAAAAAACATTTCACTTGTATTGACAAGATAAAGAATCGATTTAGAGAATTTTCATGAAGGTAGGTCTAGCGGTTTCGGAGATATGGAGGAAAAAGTAAAAAAAATGAGCCATTTGGCGGTCAAAAATGATCATTAGACATATGCACATCAAATTATCAGATATTTTGTAGAGATTTTAACAATAAGTATACATTTTGTTAACATTCCTATGGGTTCCGTACCAATGCTTATGCGTTAGACAGCGACGCGGCGCTTACGCGCTTTATATTTTGTCCCTATGCAGTTAAAGCAGTACGATTGCTTTGAAAAAAAGTTAAGATCTTCCACAATATGTCAAAATAAAGAAAAGAAATTTATTTTTTTTTTAATTTTTTTTTCAAAAAAAAGTCCAAAAGTTGTCCAATTTATAGTTTCTCAAAAATCTTATTTTTTCAAAGTATTTTTTTTTTTCAAAAATGTTAATCGTTTTTAAAAAAATAATAATTTTTGGTACGGGAAGTTCCAGCAATTTGCCTTAAGGCACGATGCCTTAATTGCCTTAAGACAGAATTCCACTTACAGCTAGTTAAATTTGCAACTGATTTCTCATATTTTGTTATATCACTAAATCCGTTTTTCTTGAATCTGGGATCTAGTATTGTAGCTTCAGCATATAATTTATTTGATTCCACGTTACATTTGTCGTAAAACCTTTTACGCATGGCATCATTTAAATTTTTTACCATTTTTTTAATAATCGGTATTGTTTCTCTATCTTTATGAAAGTCTAAATGTTGACATAAAATGCGACAATATACAATTATTTTAGACAATGTCTCGTATTTATTACCAGATATTTCAGTTGTCACTTCATAAAATGCTTTCAGAATAGGTAAACTGTGTTCAACTATTTCCCACCCTTTTCAACTTATTAAAATATCACTTCTAATAAGCGCTATTGTTGCGATTACAGCTTCTTTAATTGCGTGAATACGATTCAACATATCGTACGTTGAATTCCACCTTGTTATCACATGTTGTTTCAGTTTCAACGCTGGCAAATTCAGTTGTTTTTGCATTTCTAACAATTTTATTTGCGCTTGTGAACTTCTTTTAAAATATTCTACCACTTGTTTTATTTTTGTAATAATTACTTGTATTTCAGTAATTCCTGATAAAACGACACGATTTAATGCATGCGCAAAGCAACCTATTTGGGGCCATCCTCCAATATTTATTGCCCCAACTATATTTGGCGCGTTATCGCTTACCACGGCCTCAATTTTGTCCGATAAATTCCATTTATTTAATTCATTTCTTAAGAAACTGCTTACATTTATACTGGTGTGTCTTTCATTATATTGCACGCAGCATAATAAATTAACACATAAATTACCATTTTCACCCATATAATGAGCCGTTATTGCCATATAACTATCATTAGTTATTGATGTCCACGCATCAGTTGTGAAGCATATTGAAGTCGTTTTTGCTATTTTTTCACACACTATATTTAATTCTTTTTCATACATCTGTGGCAATAAAGTTTTAGCCAATGTTTCTCGATTCGGTACATTATATCTTGGATTTAACAACTTCAATAGCATTCTAAATTCAGTCCCTTCAATGATTTGCATTGAATGATATTCTTTTGCAATCATCTTGATCAATTGTGCATCTATTTCAGCAATTTGGCGCATGGATAAAGGATTAGTATTTTGCAAATAATTACTGATAACATTAGAATTATTTTTCATTGTATTAATTGGATTTGAATCTGATGTACCAGCTTCTGAAGTTTTTAACGCCAACATATTATCCAATAATACAGCCTCGCGACGCATTGCCGGATAAATCGATATAGTGGGGTGTTTTCTTTTCAAATGTCTTATTAAATTTCCAGTATTTCAAGATAAAATGCTTAAAAAATCCACACAATAATACACTTTGCTTTATTATTTTTTAAGGAAAAATGATTCCAGATAGTACTGGTTTTACGTCTCATTGCCATTTCACTAATCACTTGCAATCACTGATTTTGTTATACAAAGAATATACACATTAACACAAAAGTTTATTGTTCGATTGCTTGGTAACTTTCAAAATATTAAAAAAAACTATTGCTATCGACGAGAAGACTAAGATAGAACTGATGTCGAAGACGGAGTCCTACTAAAATTAGCTTGTAATTTTTTGCTATAAAAAGTCTACTAGGCATCAGTCGACAAGAAAATTTATGAATAAATATCAATAAAATATTTTTTCTAAAAAATTCACAAATAAATGACGGGTTGTAAAATTTTTCGGTCGACCAGATGATCGACTCAATGACTCGTAATTTTAGCAGTGTTGACCAAAGTAAAACTATGTATGGTATGTATTCCTTATTTGTATATATTTCTTATTTGCCATCATTCACGGTCAAAGATTATCGTAGTTAAAAATATGACCCCTTACTATTCAATAAATTATACATTGGAGCTATTCACACTTGAACACAATTTCATTGTTCTGTATCTTTGATGTAATATTTTTATATTTTCTGGAAAACACACAATGGTATTATTTTATACCTAAAAAGGTCATAAAACTGCCTGTGAGCTGTGAGGCGAGAAGGCGACCGCATCCTTCCCAAGGCAAAAACGCCAACAACAGTAAATGTCTGCACAAGTTAAAAGATTTAATACCAGTTTAAGGAAGTCGGATACGACAAATCCCGTGAAACAACTCCACTCGGATTCACTCCGAGGGAGGAGTTGTGTCGAAGTGATAACTCCGGAGTGAGTTACCCATCTCTAATATGTATATATATATTAGAGATGGGGATTTATTATATCCGAAGCCGATTTGACTCCGCTTCATGGTGGAGTTATATCCGCTAAACAACTCCACGACTTCGACAATTTTGAACCCGAAATACTCGAAACAAATGTGTTCGCTGTTTATGTATCTAAGGATTTGGCAAATCCCATTAATTATTTGAAATAAAAATTTATGAATAAATATCAATAAAATAATTTTTCTAAAAAATTCACGAATAAATGACGGATTGTAAAATTTTTCGGTCGACCAGATGATCGACTCAGTGACTCGTATTTTTAGCAGTGTTGACCAAAGTGAAAACGCAAAACTTGAGAATCAAATTCAATTTAATGATTTCCTTTTGATGAGAAAATAATTGATTTTTTGGATTAATTTTATATAAAAATTATGTAGTAACTTTGTAATAAAAGCAAAACATAATACTTCTTCTTTCAAAATTTTTTCTTCTGCTATTTCCATTTGAGAATTAATATTATCGAATTAATATTATTAATTATTTCGCGTAGTTCGATTAGCATATTATTACTTTTACACAATTAAATAATTGTGTAAAAGTAATAATATAATACTGAATATTTTTTACTGCTTAAATACTAATGATATCACTGATAAATTTTGTACTCTAAAGTGTTTGTACTCTAAAGTGTGGCTATGGAAAAACAAGATTAAATTGTTCTGTATCTTTGTTCATTGTTCTGAATCTTTAAAGTAACATTTTTGTATTTTCTGGAAAATACACAATGGTATTTATTTTGACCTTTATACCTAAAAAAGGTCATAAAACTGCCTGCGAGACAAGAAAGTGACCTCTTCCTTGCCAAATCAAAAACGACAAAAACACTAAATGCCAGTACCAGTTAACAGATTTAATATCAATTTGAGGAAGCGGATATGACAAATCCTGTGAAACAACTCAACTCCGAGGGAGGAGTTGTATCCGAGTGATAACTCCGGAGTGAGTTACCCATCTCTAGTATATATATATATTTAACAATTTTTTTCCTTTTTGAGTGTCACAAGTAATTTTGAATGAATGTACAAGATGTCGAAAATAGATTGTTTTTCTAGAATGACATTGCTCATAGTTTTTGTTTAAAAGCTTAAAATTTAATTAAAAAACGAATACATAGTAATATGTTATCAAAATAAATAAAAACAAGAATATCTAGAAAACTAGAATGATTTGTTAAAAATAATCATAATTTTATCTTACTGTGTGTACTTTTAGAGTACAATATAATTTCTACTAAAAGTATTTTTTTTAACTTTTGAACAAATATTTTACGAGATGTAGAAGAAAGGTGTTAGTAAAATACCAATATACTAAATTTTCATTAAATAAAAATTTTTATGAAAATGCTCGATTAAAAGTTTTTTTCTGAACAGATATGTTTTTAATTTGCCTATACCCAACTAAAAAATTCAAAAAAATGTATTATGTAAACTATATAATTCCATAATATTGCTAAAGTACAATATTTATTAAAGAACAAGTATGATTTTGTAAAATAAAAATCATTGTGTTAATTTTTTATTATCTCCACAGTTAATTTTAATGGCCAAAATATATTTAGTTTTTTATTATATTATCTATTTTATAAAAGAGCTCATAGTTTAATATAAATTTCATATGCACTAAATTTCAAATCGACTTACTAAATTTAATTAAATCAATGACAAAACTTTTGTTTTCTAATTTTAGAAAAAGAATAAAAGTTTTGTCATTAATTAAATTAAATTTAGTAAGTTGCTTTTAAGCATATTTTTATGAAATTGTACATAGACTCTCCAAAGGCAAAACGCATTTCAAGATAAAAATGCTTTTAACTTGTTTTAATTAATTAAAGAGTTTTAAAGAACATAGAAATATGAAACTAAATATAATTTAATATTACTAGAATAGATGTAGTAGTGAAGAGATAGTAAAAAATTTTGTTATCTGTAACAAAATAATTATTGTTTTAATTTTTTACATCAAAACTCGTGAACTAGAATTTTTAGAATAAAACCAATGTTAAATATTTTCTTAGCAATAATTTCAGAATTTACTATTTATTATTTATTTTGAAGTATTTCATAATAGAATTTTTATTATAAAGTGTACAAAAGATTTTACAACAATATACAAATGAATAAATTTAATATCATTAGTATATTTAGAATAGTAATAAAATAAGAAAATTATTTTTAAAATGTTCTGTATTAATAATTTTTGCATATGACTCTAAATTATTTTCAGTAAAACTAGTTTTTATTAAATATCTAAAAAATTGATTATATTTTCAGTTTCAAAATGAAAGTACATCATATCCTTATATTTAAAAAAACTAAAGCAAAAAAATAACAAACTTAATAATTTTAGCAAAGAAATATGTTCATGTACACAATTATTCTAAACTTGAAAACTTTGGCATTAAATTCGTACAAAATAACAAAATTCTGACTTGTAACTTGTATTAAATATTATAATTACAAACTAGAATAAAATAACGTAACAAAATCATCAGTCAAGTTATGGATACTCAAATCTATATTTAAATAAATTATACGAAACTAAAAATAATTAATACTATAGATATCAATAGAATATATTAGACTCGATGACATCAGTTAATACGATTCCTCATTTTTGAATTTTTAACAGCCTGAGATATATACATATATATCTATTATATATTATATATATATACATATACATATATATATATATATATATATATATAATATATATATATATATAATTATATACATATAGCTGTAATAAATTTTACGACTTCAATTCGAATTGTTCACGTGTACATAAATTAATTAATTTTGAAACTGTACAATTTCTGTTCCTCACAATATATAATATCAATCGTACAAAACTTAACTAGTTAAGGATTTCTATAGAACGTGGTTATACACATATTTTACAATAACCACACAAACACACAACCACAGGACCATATTAACAGAAATCTGCCAATTCATTTATCAAAAACGATGATAAATTGACATAGTCACAGGATTGTAATAGAGTGTGAGCCAAACGACCAAGAAATAATATAACTAGTGGTGTATGGCATCGTGCCTTGAGGCAAATTGCTGGAACATCCGTACCGTAATTAAATATTCGTAGAATAAAAATAATCAGTCAACAAAAGTCTATGAATAAATATTATAAAAACTATAATTTTCATTATTTGTCCTTGTAGACAAAATGTGAAAAACTTATTAGATCAGACGGACGTTGTTTATTTGTTTGAATGCAATAAACCAAATCTAATTATTGTTAGAGTAAACATATTTTATTTCAAATGCATCAATTTTTCGTTCGCGAAATATATGCTGGGTGTAACAATTTTAAATAGTTCATGTAGTATCAACTATACAAACATAAAAAGTATTAAAAAAATTATAAAAAGATATTACAGACATTGGGTTCAAACACGATCTAACACTCTTTAACTTGGAATGCTTTAAATGGCAAAAGTTTATATTAGTAATTTGTTAAATTATGTGTATAGAAGCTGATAGCTGATTTTTTAATAGTTTTTGTATTATATTTGAATAAAGCTCGTTGAGACCTTTCATTTGATACCCCACTTGCCTATATTTGAAGTAAAATATTTTTACCTATATTGGACCGCGAGTTCTGCAACCCATTGGTTTACTTTTTATCATATCTCTTGTAACTTTTGAACCGTTGGCCCAATGTACATGGTTTCTTCAGAGGATTTGTGGTAAATTGAATGCTTTTTGATATGTTCAAATGTAGTTTGACTCTACAGCAACTTTTGTCTTTCTTAAATACTAAAGCGAAACGAAAATTTTAGTGATGCGCAACCAACTCAGCTATAACGACATGCTCACTTCATTCTCGGAATTCTGCACTTTGCTCTGTATCTTCAGAACGGCTGGACCTGTCTTGGCCAAAAACTAATCAGCACGTCCCTTTATCAGTAGAAATCGAATGTTTTTGAATTATCTAATCGGTTGATCGGTGTTCCCGAAATCGACGATAAAAATTGTATCCGCA